TTATTGACGTACCCGCGTATTGATGGACAGCCGACAACAAGGCCGTCATACCGAGCCTCATACAGTTGGTTGTATTCACTGTCACTGATCATTTTCCCAAGGTAATCCTGCCCGAACTCCTTCCGTCCTGCATCCTCAGTGGTGACCTGGAGGCTTTCATCGGCTTTCAGGACGCAGTGGACAGCCATCGGTTCACCAAGTGACACTTTCTCTCGCGTGATAATATACTTCATCTTTGCAAAGGTGGGGCCAGTAAAGTAACTGTGATTCAGTAAAAACAAACAAAGACAGAGAAGGGGATTAGTAAGGAGGTTTACAATTTTCGGAGGGAATGCCTATGTAGCTTGAACGGAACTTACGCGAATTCCAGGTGAGCATTTGTGAGTCTCAATTTCAAAAAACTGCGTCTATTCTCCTTTCGCGGGAGAAACGAAAGAAGGCAGATTTCGCCGTTTGCTGACAACGGGGTCATGTTTAGGTGGAGAGAGATGTCGCCTTCGACTGTGTATTCGAAAGGAATTAATGCGGAGGTTGAGGCACCAAAGAAGAGCCCGATCTCCTTCTTCTCATCCTGGCGCCTGCTTCCCTGTATTTTGACTTTGTCCAGTTCTGAAAAAGAAGCCGATATTTTGTGGATACATTACAAATCAGTAATACAGTATCTGCTCTCCATTTGCATGTACATCTCTTAGGTATGAATCAGTTGGACTATTGCACCCATCAGGATCTGCAATAATCATGAATCCTAATAGCCGTTGACTCCCTTGATTATTTTGTTTCTACACGCCGTATACTTTCAATTTAAAAAAGTCATATAGTCCTTTGTAATACTTGAATGAGACAAAAGTTTGAGATATAAGTGGTACAGGCTGTGAGCTCCTGGAAGGGCATTGGTTGGACGCACAAATACGCCGCCACTGAACTTCAAACGACCTTACACTTAATTCCAGAGAGGGCACCTATTCCCGTGTCCTAACTTTAAGTTTAAACATTCCAGCCCTAACGTCATACTAATCGTCATGATTCTTATCCTTATCGTAACCATCTTAACTCTAATCCCAGAACGTGCACT